ATATATATAATGAGATAACATTACACCTTCCACGCCGACAGAACAATATAAAGTGAAAACCTCAACGGGCCACGCCACGCCACGCCACACCAGCTGTGTTCTGAACGAAGAATCTGGCCTATTGTTCAACTTTGACTTTGACCTTAGATTTTCTGATACCGGGGATTTGATTGATCACTGCTATATCCAAGTTTCTGTAATAACAGTGGATGATATAATTGGTCGCTTTTAAGCACAAAGGGGCTATCACAAAAAATGCTGTTTAGAGAAAATCGAAGGTAAAAGTTTTTGCCCTTGTTCAGTTTCTTTAAAACACAAGGAGAATTTTCTCTATAATCAAACAAATATACAGACAAATGAAATCAAACTTCTCCTATAGGTAGGGCAATGCACACTTTTGGTGTAGGTCAAAATTTCTGGAAACCCCCGAAATCTGGGTTAGCCCGCTTGTCCTTAAAAGCGACCAATTAATGGACTGGGCTGTACTGTATTTCAAGTATCGATTACAAAAAAAGTGTCTCGTTCGAAGGACTCAGTGGACCTAGATGCTCAGATGCGGGCGTAAGTTGGTGGTCTGCGAGTGTACTCAAGTGGGCTAAATTACTAGGACTGCACTGGGGTGTACTCAAGTGGGTTAGATTACTAAGACTGCACCGGGTGTACTCATAGATGTACACTATAGTACTAGATACAGTACGCCCCTCTCTCGCCTTGCTGTGCGATGGCCACATTTGACAGCGGCGTCCGCCATGTTTTTTGTGGCAAGTTGTGTGAAGGAGTTCATGCTAAAGCAATGGGCTAGGCATGTTTTCTCTCTCTCTCTCATACGCGACAGACGAGGCTTGGTTCTTGTTGATTTTTTTTTTTACATGGGCACCTTGGCGTACTATATCAAATTACTAAATTGCAATAATACGGCGTTCTTTCTACAACTAGATATACAAATAAATGTATTATTAAATAGATAGAGATAGAGATATGGGCTTTAAAAAAAAAGAAGAAAAAACCCCTTTACTTCTTCATCAGCACTTTATCTACGAGGTGGTTTATTTCTTATTGACCGAATCAAAGCGTATAGGGCCTATAGAACTTTTAAAAAGAAGTATGAAAAGATGTGGGTGTCATGGGAACCTCCCATAACCACCCCATCATCTCTCTCCTCCCGAATCCCAATACCACCCCACCCCCCGGGCCCCTCTCAGATATATGAGTTTGGCATTAAATTAAATCAAGATGAGCCATAGGAAAAAAAATTCCAGAGTTTTTCAGCCTTTAGGTGTAGGAATGCAATGAAGCTCTTGATAAAGCAAATTCAGTCAAACAAATGATGAATACATGTACTGGTATTTTTAAAATCGAGTTAAACTTTCCCTTGTGACATTTGAACAGGAAACTATTTAACTTTTTCATTCATATGTTCACTTTTTTTTAAAAGTATACTAAATTATAAGTAGTGTTTTCTTATGTCGTTATCAAATTTGGGTTTATAATGATTTTAAAAACTAAAGTAGACCATATACAGCACTTAAACTAAAGCTCCTTCTACTGCTGTTTAAAGAAAGTCTAATTTTGGACATTACTAAAACAACTGTGACAACTCTGGGCTCACTAAAGATAAAAAAAGTGAACTTAAACGTTGTTTTGTAGCCTAGTCAATTGTTTTTCTACTCAGTGTAGTGATAACTAAACAAAAACCTTTACTAAGGTGTTTTTGGACAACATTCAATAAAACAAAACAATAAAAAGTACACTGTTTCAGTTTGATAAAGAAATTTCCTGCCCATTGTGAAAAAGATCTAGCTGCTAGTAAACCTTAACTTCACATGGCCCAGAACCTTACTGATGGCTCTTTATGTTTTAAAAAAGAAACCCG